GTATATCACTAACACAAACGCATGAATTATAATAACTGACAATCGAAGTAAAAGTAAAGTATCGTGAAAAAAAGTCGCTGAAGACATCGGCCATCAAGCAAGACTGCATACATTGAATCTCAGATCAAAAAACCTTGCAAGTGAAATGTGTTGGCTCAATAAGCTCTCTCACCCAATGAGTTAATTTTTTATAATGAACTCTCTTTTACAACTCAGGCTCGTAACAGCCTTTGATGTGCTTCAATCTTCTTTTCTACAGCACAGAACCCTAAATCAAGAGTTTTAGACTTTTAGAAACGGCCGGGTTTGGTTTGAGGATGACATAAAGGAGTGATGATGTGGCGTCTTGTTCCCACTTAGTGCTATGTGGTTCCATGTCAACAATATTTTAAATTGTTATAACCACAACGGATAAATTAGGGACTGAATCAGTAACTTGATGAAATTATAAGAATTAATTAATTTTCCCTTACAATTGTGTGCGTTTTATATAGAGGCACGCCTTGTGGTTAAAACTCACTAGGGTTAACTTGAATTACCTAAAAACAAGAATCCAAATCTATGTTTTTTTTTATTTTTTTAATAACAAATGGGTAGTAAAAACTACCTAAACCAATACAAGCCTTATCAAGCAAATCAAAATTAACAAGACCGACAAGCTCACTTGAAGAAGAAGAAATCAATTGCAATTCAATACAAGCACCACAATAAGTACTTGTTTGGCAAGTCAATCCATTGCTCTATTCCATCCATGTCGAACATGTTGCAATTGGATCTCCCAATCATGACTAAGTAGTTGATGAATTTCCAAAAGTAGCTCATAATCTTAGTGTTCAATGTCAGTTTCCACATGAATCAATTCCACAGCTTTTAGAGAATTTAACTTCAAGACTAATCATTTAAAGCTCGTGTCTCATGCCGTTTCAAGACCGATCAAACAAACTCATAATTCAGCAGTTAAGCTATCTCCACCCTCCAGATAAAAGGTAAAACCATAAATAAATTGCCCATTTGCTTTATGCAAAAGCTCACCACATGTAGACACAACTCCGATGGTAGAAGATGCTCCATCAACATTAAGTTTCAACCACCCCTTATCTGGTGACCCCCACCTTTCATGCTAATAGAAACTACCTCGGCTCCTAAAGGATGTTTCATCGTTTGTCGACTTGCTGCCCCAGAAACAGTTGCCATGATTTGAGCGCGAGAGATGATTTCATCAAGGCTAACAGACTTCCCTTCAAACACATAGATGTTCTGAATGCCTCCAGAGATATCCAAATCTATGTTCTAAACACATGATGAGTGAAGACGAATATTTGATTAATTCGATGTTAATAGAAAGTAAATATATTATCACAAATTTAGACTAGTCAAACCATATGCTTTATATATAATTTGATGTTTTGTGTCTTGTGATCATTATTGTTTGACATGTACAGTAATTAAGATGTGTGAGATGTTGGAAATTTATTTGTTGGCTCACGTTAATTATTTTATTGATTTCCTAACATGTGTTAACCAGTGGACTATAAAATACTAAAGTCTAATTATGTTATGTGATTAATTGTATACTCGATGAGCTTGACACGATCAGTAAGTCTAGTTAGTGTCTGAAATTGGGTTATTAACCTTACTAAAACTTGCAGTAGATATATCCAATAAGGGAGAAATATTTAGATAAATCAATTACATCATGTCATTTGTAATTTATTCAATTAAAATGCTCTAAATAATTTAAATAAAATTTGTTTGACATTTTTTAATTGATTTTATTTTCATAACAAAATATACATTTAATTTTTTTACCTTTTCCCCCTCTATTATTGATATCAAAATTAATTTACATTTAATGTCATCTAAATGTCATGTGTTTATTGAATAGACCACAAATAAAATGATACATCTAATCTATCCAAATATTTCTCTCCAATAAGGATTATTAAATAGATGAGGTTGCCAATCTAACCCAAACTTATTGAATACTTCCCCATCAAAGACCACATAACTCTAAAAGGTAGAGGGAGAAAATACCTAAGTTGATTAGCTCAGTATGGCTTAGTCACTACAGTCGAATCGAGTGTATGTTCTATCTTATATAATTATTTGGTTTCTTATCTTATGTTAAATCCCTATCTATATATTAATTAGATTTTACATGTGAGAGTAAACGGGTATGCTTTGAATTCCTTACAATCAATCATAATAAATTAATTATATATAATAAAATAGAATTAAAGAGAATAAAATTAATATAAGGACGATGAGGCGGTACACCTCATTTTCAGGCATTTGTCTGAAGTATTCAAAAAAATCGATTTGCAATTTTGAATCAAAATAAAAGTATATAATTCGAACAAGTCAACTTTGTAAAACATCTTAAATTTCCAGTCATAGGTGTTTATTTATTTATTTATGCTTTCCAGCGATTTGCTTTGATTTTCATTTTTTCTTTTCCAGATTTGATTTATTTAACATTCCAGTAGTTGCTTTGGTTTGTCTTTCTAACAAGCATTAATTAAATTTTTATCACTCAATTTACTTTTATGTACTCAATTTTTTTTCTCATTATAAATTTTAAATAATTGATTTTTTTTCTCATTTTATTTGTTGGAATGCCGGAAACTTGGTCAATTTCCATTGGCTGATTTCATCCTCGTCGTTTCATTACGTGTCGATGTCGTAAAAACCATTTCTCCGTTTCTTGCTCTTTTCAAAAGCGACATCTTAATCTTATTGAGCGTAGACGGGAAACAGAAGAGATGTGAAATTTGATGACTTCTCAATGTCACGGTAGAAATAATACTATTTCTTTAATAAAAATATCTGCTATTATGTAGAAAACAATACAATGGTTCTCATCCACGTGTTTGGTCAATTTTCAATCTCAATCTTCTGCGATCCATATGCTAGTTTCCTACAATAAAGAAAGTCTTTCAGTCATTTTCAACTTTTTACTCTCTTTTTTTTTTAAATAAAATTAATTTCAAGAGCATGGGTTTGAATGTAGAAAAAATAATAATAAAATTTTTTTAAACTGTATTTAGTTATTTAAAATATAATAATTTTTCTGAAGTTTTTAAAAGTTTTTTATCATTAATAAATTTATATAAATTATCAAATTATCTTTATTAAAAATAAATAATTTACAAGTTTTATTTAAATATTCATAATTTTTTTTCTTATATTCGCAATAATACAATAACAAATCATAACTTCATATGTTAATTTCTTATTTGTTGTTGCATTATTGCGAATATAAGAAAGAAAGTTATAATTATTTAAACAAAACTTATGAATTATTTATTTTTAACAAGAACAATTTGATAATTTACATAAATTTATTAATGACAAAAAAATCTCTAGAGACTTTAAAAAAATTATGACATTTTAAAAAATTAAATTATTATTTATACATTTAAGAGAGATTTTATTATCATTTTTTCTTGAATATAATTAACGCCATTTGTATATTAAAAAAACAATTTTCGCTAGATGAAGATGAGTATCCCCCGGAGGTGAAGGTTCCTTCCAATGCTTATAAGGATATTAGTTAAGTTGTTATGATTAAATGAAATTATATGTAATAGTTTAGGGATATATAATTATCCTTTGAGTTAATTTTAATAGGTTAATGATTTGCTGCACCAGACAATTAAGATGCCTTGAAGCCTACCATGGTTTGGTAATGTATTTTGTTAGGAACATATAATGAGATTTAGGTATATAAATATTTTGCCTTTGAATAGGATAATTAATTTGGGAGAATTTCAATTAAAAAAATCCTATGAAAGTTTAATTTCATATAGAATTAACAAATGAAAATATTATAGAAGGGTCAATGAACCGAATGGAAAATATATATACTTTGATGAAAATAACTAAAATACTCTTTTTTTTCAAATATGGAGTGGGCTTATTTAAATTATAACTTCACTTGTCATTTTTCAAATTGACATTTGTTAATTCACTAAGAAAATTTATTAACAATATCTTTTACATGTTCAATATTCTCAATTTGCTTATTAATATCTTAGTAGAACTTGTCATTTTTGTTATGCTTGTGAATTTATTAGAGAAACTTGTTAACAATACATTTTAGATATTCAATCTTTGACTTGTTATAACATGAAATAGATTTATTAAAATCTCAACTTAATTTATCATTTCACTACTGCTTAATAGATCAACTTGTGAACAATACTTTCTATATATTCAATCTTATTGACTTGATAAAATATTGTACTTGTTAAAAAAAAAAAGATATTTTGATCATTTTATATCAAAATATACTTTTAATTCAGCCCTGAATTGCAGTGTATTTTAAAATTATATTCATTCTTTTACTAAAATTCTCACAATTACTTGAACCAACTTTGGACATTGCCTAGAAAGCTACGGATTATTTGATGAATCAATATATTAGTCTATTATTTAAAAATCTCACAATTAATTTATTCTGCATGCGGATACCAAAAAAAGAGTCAGATTTGTAAATATTAAGGGGGCTGTTTAATTTATCAGGCAACCATCTCACAGTCCACAGATATTAGACATGTATGATTTTTCCTCTACACTGGGGTCATTCTTCTCATATTTTATTATTAAATTTTCATTAGTTATATTATTTCCAAAATTCAACATTATACATTTAAAATATTTTTAAAAAAGGAGAATCACATTTAAAAACTTAAAAAATTATTTATGGACCAATAACAAGTCTCATTTATTAAAAAAAATTTATATTTTTATTTTAACAAAATTTATTTCGTATTAATTTTTATCTGTAAGTAACTTTTTTGTCAGATCCTTAAATGTAATTCTTTTTCTTAATTCTAAATATATTATATATTTTGGCGAATAAAAATATATTATATATTTATTAAGAATCTAATAATGAATTCGTAAGGAGCACAATATCTGCCGCCTCGCGCAACGCAGAGGATCCGCTCCTTCCGACCTATATAACCGTGGTTTTCCTAAAAAGGGCCCTATCATTCCATATTTTCTCTCCTACCTCTCCTACCATTTCTCGCGCAGAAATGAAGCATTACTGCATCACCACCTCCGCCGCCGTCGAAACCGACACCCACGTTTCCATCACATCCTTCGTCTCAGATGACACCGAAGTTTCCATATCCTCCGCCGCTACTATAACCACTTCGATCGACAAAAACAAGAAGAAGAAGAAGCAGAGTTTGAAGAACACCGCCGGTGAAGAAGTCGATCGCCACGGCGGTTTGGCAGTTCACAGCCAAGTGATGAAGATTAAGCAAGAAATAGAGAAGCTGAAAGAGCCTTCGCCGGAGATTAGACGCCTCCATCTCAGAAATATTAATCGGCAGCGATCTCGGTCGCCGCTCGGAATCACAGAGAGAGCTATCCTTGTTGGTAACTCCTGAGAGTTTTTGTACATATATGCATATATAATCTAGTATAATGGGAGATTTCTACGTTGCTGATGAATTCTGGATGGGATGTGCAGCAGTATTCAGTGATTAGTGTTAATATTTTGTGTGTGTGTGTGTCTGTGTGTGTAACAAACCAGAACAGTATCGATACATCTTGCGGTGCGCATAGAAGTCTCCTTGTATGCATGTAACGTTATGTGTAAATATTAAAATACAAGAAATTTAGAGGCTACTCCGAGAAATTTGTGTGTGTTTTGTTTAACTTTAAGTTTGGCTTTTCATTTTCTGTTTCTTCTTCCTTTTGTTTTATTTCCAGGTCTTACATCTCTGTTCTTGAGTTTCTTGTGATTGCTTGTGATGGCAAAAGCTTTTTATTTTATTTTGTTTTTTGTTGAGATAGTTTTGGTGTTCAATTTTGGGTTGAGACTATAGACCTTCCGAAGATTTTTCAGTCTTTTAAATTTGCTTTTATCTGCCACGTGTATAATTACTTTTGGAACATCCCAATACAGGATTGGAGCTTTCTTTTCAGCATCATCAACTCTTTTCAAGCCTTGTTTTTTTCACAATACCGGTGTAATTAAATAACAACAACAACGACAATAATATTCTTATTATAGTATAATAATATTATTATATACTGTATTATTTTACATATAGATAGAAATAATAAGATACCAAGTGACCCGCAAATTCCTATTAGGATTACCATCACACGACTTCTCAAGAGCTAGGCTACATGTCGCGAAAAAAAAAAAAAAAAAGAAGAGAGGCAGGCTACAATTTTTTTTAACATAATATTGAATATTAATTATCCATACAAAATATTTAAAAAAAATCACAACAAATTTGTGAATATTATGATTCATTCGGAGCTTTATTTGAACACATGAAGCCTGTTCTAATTATTACTATGTACAGAAATCTACGTGCGGATTTAAATTCTCTAAAATTAAAATTGATGATTTTTTGTAAATTTTTTCTTTTTAATAAAGAAAGAAAAGATTTTATATTTTATTAAAAAATAATGAAATGAACAAAAATACTAAAAAAAATTACCTAAATTTACTAATACCAACTTTAAAGGGTTTAAATTCACCTATTGTATCACTCTTATATGAAAGAGTTTTATGAACATTACTTTTATTGTACAAAATAGATCCATACAAATTCACCATTGAATTCTAATTAATACTAATTCTTTTAAAGACATTTTCTTTTAACATTCACATAGATTCAAATTTAAGATTTTGCACTTAAATAGTCACAACTCCAACTCCTTTACAAAGACCCGCATAAAATAAATGCAATTTGCTGTTTCATTGTTGCTCTTTAGAAAAACATGTTTGAACCATCTTTTAATTTTCACCAAACATGCTTCACCATCAAAATGTATTTCTTTTCAAAAATATATCTAAATAAAAAATTCAAGTCAAGAATTATCGAGATTAAACAATTCACATAAAATTTAAATGAATTAATTCTATTTTAGCCTTGGACAAAATATCAATAAGATAATGAGGTCTTCCTTCCAGATGTTCCTCCAAGAGAAACACCTGACAATTCTTTTGCCATAATGAGAGACCAACCTAAGTGAAAATGATTACCCACTAAAAAATTAACAATTATTACTTATTTATTGATGGCAATAATGCGATACATTTTTGGTTTAGTTGCTTGACCTACCAAACTTGCATATCGGAAGGCAAAGGTTAAATGGAACACGTAAGGTGAGTACAACACACGTTCATATGCCATGTCTCAAACCATCATCTTGAAGGCAAAAGCTTTCAAGAGATCCAATGCCTGGCTGACACGTGCTATGTAAATCCTGGCCACAAAACAAAAAAGGAAAGGACCATGCCTCTTTCTCTTTTCAACTTATCTGGGAAGCTGCCGATAAAAGATTTGTAAACTACTCAAAGAAAATGACACTGACCAACAAGGATATGGATTAAAAATCAAAAGGGTAAAATGTACTTTGCTTGTCACAGCATTTGATTCGAATATTGAGCCAAATATATATACTCCTCTGATTCTATTTATAAGTAACTTTCAATATGTTTTACCAATATAAAAAAAAACTTTAAAACTTATTAATTTTATCTTAAAATTTAATAAATTCTCAACTTTATCCCTATTAAATATACATAATTCAATAATATATTTTCTCTCTCCAACATTCAATGGAGGGTAAAAGAAGAAATTTGTAATAAAATTTAATAACATGACTTATAAATAGAACAATTTTTTTTTCTTTCTTTGCCCTATAAATAGGACCAAAGGGAGAGAGAGAGTGTGTGTATGTGTGTGTACAAGATTTTAAAAGTATAATCTAAATGGGCACTTAATCTGTGTTTCGATAACATATTCACCATCCGAAAGCAAACATGTGGCTGAAGATCTAAACTCGAATTCTTAGATCCAATTGAAATATGCTTCCTCGGATCTCCATCAAACTGCTTGTATTCTAATTCAAGTATTTTAATTCTATCCTCCATCAAGTTATTGTCCGTCTTTAATTATGTGTGTGTGTGTGACTCTGAATTGTGATGTTTTGTTTTTGTTTGGTGGTCATGACTCATGATGCAAGTAAATGAGCTGTACACTATGTGTCGAAGGTTGAGCTGAAGCAATTCTCATGGCTAGGACTTATTATCCCACAAGACGTATGAATGATAACATCACCACAAATTTTGTGACAGCGCAAGTTACATTACACGCCCCCTTATTTTATGTATGTCGTTGCTGGTTGCATCAAGTCTCAATGTAGCCACCTGTCAAGCTGATGAGATATGTTCATATCTCACAGTTCTGACACATGGAATTTGTGAAGGTCAACAACACTCATTGCGAATACATAGATTCACTCACACAAGTGCACATCTAATCTCCAACCATCCAAATTATTTTTAAATAGTTTAGGATCTAATTGGTAGGTCGTTTTGATATTAAATACAATATCTCAATCTTATTTGTCTCGCCTAGTTATCATCATTTTCCTAAACTATCCCTATAATTAGATTCTCATATGATCTATAAACTATGTTGATGACACTCCACTGTAAATGATTAAAAAGATGAATATTATAGGAAAACTAGCTTTAGATATGCAGCAACAACTAAATTTTCAATAAGAGGCATGCCTTCCAAAAACGTGCCCACAAGCTGCCAACTGGATTAACTTAGATCATAGATCTAGGATACCGGAGCTCAACCAAAAAAAAAGAAGGACGAGTATTTTAAGAAAACTAGCACACATTTTCTACAAAATAACTGACTCTCTTAATTTTCTTCATTTGTCTAAATTAGTTAACAAGCTCCAACATTTAACACCGGAAAGGGTATTAAAATGGCCCCAAAAAATCAAGCCAGCAATTAAAATAAAGAAATATCCATTAAGAAGATGCATATTGCAGTTATGAGGTCTCTTTCATGCAGTACATTTCATCGTTTGACAAGTATGCGCAGTACACATTTAATCTGAATTAGCGCCAGAAGTGAAAGCCTCAATCAATCCTAAAGGAGAATAAATCTATCAAGTACCTTCTAGAACAGATCAGCCAAACCATATAAACAGAGTTGAACGTACCTCAAGAGGATGATATTCATGAGAAACATCAGCCCATTCCATGTATGTTGGAAGAATGATATTCAAAACGAAGCTAAATTTGGTGCTTCAGCTTTCAGCAGTGGCTTTGTCCTTCGATGAGAGAAGCTTCACTCTTCTTGTGAGGTCTCTAATCACATCTATAATCACAGATTTCTTTTGAATCCTGAACTGAATGGCTAGCTCAGTTGAACCTGAAGCACCCTGTTTCAACAATGACTCATCATCCATTATCTTAGTGGGGAAGTGTCCCAATGCAATGACACACAAAGCGATTGTTGTTCGCAGGGCTGCCACTTCAATTGCAATACCAAGAGGAGCTTCGGCAGCCAGAGACTTGAGAGTTTTAAGGTCATAGTTTTGCACAGCTTCCATGTCACTTGCAAGAAATACTCTCAGTGCTGCCAGCAGGCGGCCCTCCACTATTTCTGGACCACCTAAGCTTACCTGTAACAAATGAGAACAATTTAACTTGTGTTGCACTGACTAGGAATTGTGAAAATAGAGTATGCCAGGTCAGTGGCTTTAAACAAAAATGAGCTGCATTGTTATTGAACAGATGTTAAACACCCACTAAACAGCGTTAACATTGAACTCATGTTAAACGCTTACCCAAAACTTTCAATAATGCCTCTAAACTATAGATGTTACTGGGCAATGTGCATGGTCCATATGCTTGAGAGAATGAAAGTAGGTCCTGAAGTTAAACAATAGCCAATTTGGGGTTCTCGCAGGATTGGTTACTTTTGGAGATTTCTGGTTTCTAAAAACAAAAATTCTGATCTGTCCACTTATAATACCGGGAATTAACCTCCGTTTTGGTGTGCTTCTTAATCAATGTGAGATGGTTGAGAAATTTAAGCCAAGAGTTGTTGAAAATTGAGCTGCTAAAAACACTTCTCAAGATATTCTAAAAGCAGAGTAACTGAAATTGAAGTTGATGTTTCTATTAGGAGAAGACACAAAGGTGGGGAAGGCTGAGGGATTTTTCCCCTTGAGTTTGGAGGTGAGGGGAGGGGAGGGAGGGGGAAGAGTCCCTCCCAATCCTCCCAATTTGGAGGGGAGGGTTTGGAGGGGAGGGGAGCCCCTACCCTCCCCTTGTCGGATGGGACAAGGGCAGGGAGAGGGGCTCGTCTCCCCTTGTTTGGCAAAAGGGAGGGGAGGGAAAATTTTAATGAGAATAACCATGGCATGCAGGGATTTATTAGGTTATGGTTGGCACTGGGTCAGAGATACAGCTAATCTTCCTACAGCTACCCGCGTCCAAAGACTTTGTCAACCATAAAACACTAATCGGATCAAATTTTCCAGCAGACAAGTTGTCAGTGGCTTTCCTACAACGCATGGGCATTAAAAGTCATTAGCCATTTTGCCACTGTCAAAAGGTTGAAGAGAAAACTTCAATGTGACTCTTGAACCGTCCCTATATATAACAATGCCAATAGATACTTAGAATATTCAAACCCCAGTAATTTGATGGAAGAAATAGCACTAGGTCAATATCCATGAGAATAAACCTTAAGATCAGGAGCTTCTCCAGCTAGATTTAGCTGACATAAAATTTGTTCCTGCCATGGAGCGGGTGCTGAGAAGTTGGGAGAAGAAACCCCAGCTGCCATGCTTGCAGCATCCAAAAATGCACCATCATATTTGAGCTCAATACAATCATAAGGATTTGAGGGTATCACAAATCCATAGTCAAGAAGAAAAAGATCATTGCTTAAAAAGCCATAATTGAGTAATAAAGGATCATCTTGTTTGATTTCTGTATCAGCCACGACCTGAGGAAAAGACATAGTTAGCCTAGAAAAGAAATATCAAGTTTTAATTCTTTTCTCGAAAACAAGGGGGCAAACTTACAAAGAAAAGAATATGAGAGAACATGCCTTTACTTGCATCTTCATTTCACCAGTATCTTGTTCCTGAACAATTCGGGCATTTGGATTGAAACTATGGTTGCACATATCAATTAAAGGAAGCATCATTGGTATGTCTGTGTGGGTCCCATCTGGACGCTTGTCACCATATAACCGGAATGCCCTAGATGAGACAGCTGACATTGCCCATCCAAGTGCAGACGCATCTACTTCTTGTCCACCAAAAGGATGCTTATCTGGTTTCAGATTGCCAAGGGCACGCTTGCACTCTTGCTCAAAATCAAGAAGAAAACGACATCTTTTGTTCACCTGGTCGCATGCAATTGGTTTTATGCAATATATAGATAGATCGATAGATGACAAGACAGTATTCCATCTATAGCTGTTTATCAACTACTAAGAACGGACAAGGACACAACACAGACTCACTGACATAATTATATCTTAAGTGTCTAATTGCTATATGACGTGTTGCATCATCTCTCATCCAAGTTCTTGAAATTGAAACAAGTTAGACGCACAGATTACTCCTTTGTTAGGTACATAAAAATAACTCAGCATTAGATCCAAGAATCAAATCCGTGTGCAATTCATGTCCCCACAGAAAAATGTAAATGAGTCGGTGTAGTAAAGGCTTCAAGTTAAGGCCTTCGAAATAGTTTGTTTTTCTGTTGTACAAAACTAAAACATTCAGATGAATATTGTGCAAATGGGTAAAAGAATTTCTCCCAATTTTCAAACCGTGACTTATCAGCCGTAGTACTTGACTCAGGAGATGCTTAAATATAATACCTGGTGAAGCAGTGGAGCATACTGCAAGTTCTTTATATCCTCCCCTGGAAAGAAGATAGGGACACTGTATGTTTCTGGGAGATTGCTGACATATGGCCACCAAAATGATCCAACTTTCGCTCTTTCTTGCAGAAGCTTCAAACCCAGTTTCATAGCCCATAGTTCCTCTGCCAAATGCTCCCACAGTGTCCAATTTATTTACATTGAAAACTCAGTAGAGCCTAATTATCAAAACTTGAGTCACCAACCTATATTGAGTATAAAGATTTCTACAGGTTCTGCCTATGCAGTTTTAGGAGATTGGAAAATTGATATATAAAAACAAGCACTTTTAGTTCCTATAATTTTTATCCTTACAGACTAACCAAATATTATACCAAGTTCTTACTATGCATACTGTGCATCAAAATGAAAAGAATTCTAGTACAAGGATAGCTACACTGCTCTCTGGGCATTTTCTTACAATGCTTTATTAACATGTTTACTCACTATCGTGTAGCCCTAAGCATAATGCTACCATTTCAAGTAAGAGATTTGTAATGCGCAGCCCCAAAAGCATGAATGAAGCCAACAGTAGATTGTTTTAAAGGTTAATGAAGATGGTGACTAGGTTATTCTGCTAGTTCATAGTGATGTTAAATGTGCATTTCAAAACTTTCAGGTTAAAACGTAAAGGATGCATAATGAATGAGTATCTATATATGTAGACATACAACAAATCATATTATAGGCACGTCAAGAAGCTCTATGAAGAAACAGTTGAGTATAAGTTATATAGTGTCCTGATTAATGTAAAAAATTGGCAAATGTATTATTCAAAGAATAAAGGAGTAAACTTTGCGTCAGAAACACACGAAAAAGAAGAAAGAAATCTTCCAAAAGCAAAAGCAACACTTCTCCAAAAAATATTAGAGAAAATAAATAAGAAAACCTCAGATAAAGCAGGAAACTAGAAAACCTCAAAATAAAATAATAGGAACAGATCAGTTGAAATGCTTATCAAGGCAATGAAGCTGGCCAAACTCTCCGCAAAGAGAAACAGTGATTCAAAAAATAGAGCTTCTTATTGGATATGTACAGTTGCAAAGGAAACTTAGATTAGATTGGAGTAAGAGTGGTAATCGTAGCATTCCATAATAGAGGTCAACTTCAAGTCACTAAATCGAACCTTTATTGTAGTTTCATTCATAAAGCAAGTATTTTCTTTTCTTTTTTCTTTTTTAAAAAAAAAAAACACTTTCCTCACTAGTACCTCCTGCGACCTTCTCTGTATATGTTTAAATCATCTCAAACAATTTTCTATCATTTTCTTCCCAACAGATGCCATGCCCACTTTTTCTCATATATACTCATTTTGGATTTTATCTTTCTATGCATATCCGCACATCTATTTCAATATTTTCATATTTGCTACTCCAATTTTATGCTCCTACTATTTCTTTAAAGCCCGACATAACTAGTCTTATAGCAATTCAATAAAACTTCCCTTTAAATTTATTAGGTACATTTTGATCATAAATGGCTCCTTCAACATTTTTCCAACTAAACTACCTAATTTGTAACCTATATGCAACATCCCCATCAATTTTCCCATTATGTCGAATAATAGCTCCCAAATATTTAGACTTTTTCACTTGAGATATAATCTAATCTTCCAACCTTACTTCCAAATTATTACTGGCTGACCTCTTATCAAAATTATAATACAAATATTCCGTCTTATTTCTACCCAGGCGAAAACCCTTCAACTCCAAAATCCTCCTCCATAACTCAAGGTTGCAATTAATCTTTTCTTTTGTCTCCACAATAAGGACTATATTAGAGCCGATAATTCGAGCGAGCCAATCTTATTTGAGTTAAGCTCAATTCGGGCCCGGCTTATTTGGATCGGGCTTAAAGTATTATACCCTCTTAGAAAAGCTCATATAGTCAAGCTCAATCCTAACTTTTTTTGGCTAGGTTTGGACTGGCCTGTCGGGCTTGACTAAAATTACCAACCCTATATACATATAGAGCTGAAAATTTCAGTGGTTAAGCTAATTTGGGTTGGGCTTAATTTGGGCTTGGCTTAAAGTTTTCTACCCTTTTAAAAAAGCCCATATAACCAAACTTGGTCCTAACTTTTTTCAGGTGGGTTCAGGCTTGGCACAAATTACTGGCTCTAGACTATATCATCTGTAAAAAAGCATGCATTTGAGGATTTCCTTTTAAATATGCTCAATCAAAACATCTAAAATCAAGTCAAACCAATAAAATCTCAAAGATGATCCCTAATATAGTCCAATCAAAAAGGCTTGTTGTTTGGGGGCGGGGGACAAAACAAATATAATTAAGCATTACCTAAAATATGAAGACAGCGGAACTAAACCATTGGTTCGGTCAAAACCACACAATGAACTTTTTAGACTTCACAAGTAATACATTACTTGGAAGTAGGAACAAAGGCTACCCATTAATTCTATCGAATTTCAGAACTTACACTCATTTAGCACACTAATTCTTTTTGTCTGCCTTAAACTTCACACAAGCTTTTGATGAGATCAATAGAAAAAGCATATCACCAAACATCACAAGACACTCATTACCATCACATTCAAGTAACAACCAAAAAACAATTAATTGACTAAACCAGAATTTCATGGAAATCTGTATAAAATGCACAAATATTACGGCGATACAATCGTGAAAGCAATAGTGATGAAAGCTAAAAGCAATACCAGGAACATGGCGAGCTAAATTAACTAACACAGAATCAAGATCATCTTCATGGTTCGATTCAAGAGACCCGAACTTCAACGGTACGTGGTGAGGAAGAACAATAAGGTCACTCCCTCTAGGGATTTCTTCCGAAGCCATAAGTCCGAGGCCATTGGAGTCATATTGTGCTATCTTCACCGCCTTGTGCACGAACCCACCTTGTTTCCTGACCCACTTGATAAGGTCTGGTGGCTGGGGAACAAGTCGTGTAGGATAAGATGTTGATACAGAAGCGACACATGTTAGTGGACGCTGGTGGGTTAAGGAAGCCATTAACGCCTTGGAAGCAGCCATATCCGAGCCCCCACTTTCACTCTAGCGACTGCCGCCACAACGAACTGAAGTCTCGCAAAATCAAGAAATAACAATGAAGCTCCAAAATGTGATGTTCAATTTGATGTAGTTTTTGCTAGCCGTGAGATGCACGGGAAGCAAAAGTGTCAATAATGAGAATATGATCAGCGTAAAATATGAAGTAAATTTATATTTTATAAGTTTTGATTAATCAAAAATTAAGTAAAATTATTAATATATGAAAGTTTTGTTAAAATTTCAACAAAATTTCTCTTATAATTAGGATCTTTCAAAAATTTCATAACACAAGGTTTTAGGAAATAAAAAAAAAATCATACTATTCAAAAGTTCAACTCCTTCTAGCTAGTAAATAGAGTATGTAACAAAATAAAAATATTAACTATAATTTATGTAGAACACCTAAAATAAAATTTATAAAATAAAATTTTATAAGTTTAAATTTTACATCAAAAGAAAGCTTAATTCACTTTCTATAAGAATAAACTCCTCAATTATTAGTAGGAGGTTCAGCTTCGGTTATAATATATGAGGCTAAAAATAATTTTTTTAATAAATAACGTCCCAATTACAATTAATGAAAATAATAAAAAGTACATCAATAAGTCTTTTATAAATTTAATGAAATAATAAACTAAAAATAATATAAGCACATACCTTGACAATTATGTAAATGTAAAAATCATGAATGTATGAATTCAGTTATAATTTATTAGAAATTCAAGTTTCATTTTAAAACACTGTAAGAATTATTCAACTTAATTTAAAATCCAAATATGATTAAAAATAACAGTTTGTTTTAAAAGATCAAATTTCAAGAAAACTTAAGTTTTAAAATTCACTCTTTAATAGGACTCAATCAAAATGATTAACAAGCATAGATATACAATCTGCGAAGATAAATAACTAACAAACGTAACTCAATGCCATGAAAACAAGCACGAGCGTAAAACTCACGATATCAAACGCAGGCATAAGGCCCACAAAAACAAGCATGAGTACTATACTCACGAATAATTATCCTTACATTGCTAGCTTAGTGTATCATAGCGCGCTAAGGGCTAATAGGTTTGTCGTTAGCAACCAACATTTTGATTTAATCTCACCTTTTAAATCAAGCATGCATGGGTCTAAAATCAACATATTATCCATTTTTAAAATTATTCATCAAACTCAACATAAATAAATCAAGCATGCACGAATTATAATAGTTAATCATCTCTTATATGTAAATCAAACATTATCAAATATAACAATCACTTTCAAATGTTTGTTTAAACAAATTATAGTTCCAAATTATAATGAAGACATTTCTAATAAGTACAACAGCCAGTAATAAAAATGAAAATCATAAATCATTAAGGAAGAATAAATAAAAATACTATATCACTTATCTTGAGGGATTCCAAAAATTATATAAATAGAGAAGATGGCCAGTGAATAAGCTCAATCAGTATTTTAAAAAAATGAATTTGCTAACAAATCATTAAGACACTATTCACATATCTGTAGTACCCTTAAGGCTTAAAACTCACTTCTTACAACTCCAATCAAACTTTCCTTCTTCCAAGCACCCTATGATGTATAATAGTATCTTAATAGATTTTATATTTAAACCAAAAAATTCCTTTCCTAGAGAACCCATACAACCAACATTAACAATAATAACTTTCGAAGTTTTAAGAACACAATTCACACATAAAGGTTCCTTTATAACATTCAATCATAGTTAACTAGTCAATTAGAATATAATCTCTCCTTAAAATTTTTTTGTTAAACACCTACTATATGACATTCTAAAGCATTTAATAAAATTTTTAATTCTTAATTCTCTTCCCCAACAAATTTCAAATATCCAAATATAACTTCTAAAATGATAATAAATTTTACGAATTATAAGCCATATAACTCTCAATAATCTACAATTCAAATAAATTCTCATTACCTCCTTAAATAAATTCCTCCACAAAACTCATTTTAGATTAACAAATTAATAATACCCAAGCCCAATCATATTTCTTGTGAGTTTAACAAGATTACACATAAAAAAAGAAAACAATCAATCAAAACTATCCTACTAGATATTTTATGGAACATTTTGCAAGCATTCAATCTCAAACTAATGTCTAAGTTCTTCCTCTCCAATTCCATATCCCAAAAATTATCATAATATCAATATTATAACAAATAACTAGATCAAACTCGATTAGAACTCAAACCTAAATCCTCATTCTCTTGTTCTTACTACTAATTGTTTCGGCTCAATTCTCTCTCTCTCTGTTTTTTTATTTTTAGCCACAAGCAGCAGTAAAGTTCAACAGAAGAATTGCAACTTCCACAATGTTACAACACACTCACACGTAAAGCTAACAAGAAGAAGATGAACTCAAGGTTCCTCACCTTGGATAGTTACGACACTCGAGCAGGAAGAAGGCACAGAGCTATGGCAGAACAGGGGAGGGAAGATTTGATACAACGCACAGAGAATGAAAAAGAGGAAAGCCAACAAAGCTAGACCAAGCAGTAGAAATACTCACAAGCAACACCTAAGTCCTAGTGAACCGTTTCCCCCCGTATCAGCTCCCTCACACCAGCGGCGACGTCGCCATGAATGGAGGAGGAAGAAAAATGAACAGGGATGGCAACTTTGCAACGGATGGCGAGTATCCCACTGTCATCGACGATGAGGCAGATGACGGCGAGGAAGAGATAGCCGATGGTGAGGACTAGAGGAGTAACTCGACGGAGAAGAGAGAAGGAAGAGGAAAAAAATAAAAAAATCTGATCCCAATAACAATTTGAAAATATTACACAAAAAAAAGCACAAGAAAAAATTACAAGAAAGAATATAAAATTTTTTAATTTAAAATAAAATAAAGTGACACTTTTGCATAATAAAATTCAAACTCTAGATCTTCAAAAAAGTTATTGACATAAATTTTACTAAATTATCATTCTCCACTTGCTATAAAATGAATTGAAATAAAATATTAATTGGGAAAATTTTTTTATTTAATTTAAAATTTGAGGTCATTACAAGAAGAGTGAAAAAGTTATGATGCGCTCTCATTTAATTTTTTGGAAAAATGATAATTAAGGAGCCCTTCAAGGACATTAATCCCAATTAGGGCCTATAAAATCTTGAAACCCAATTAAGGATAACATATCTAACTTTACCAAATTACCCATTCACTAGATACTAAAAGGTAACAACAAAACAGCTTATATCGTGTTCTTTATTTTGGTTTTTAGGTGTAGAAAATCTGCTCTCATGTGCTCTCGTATGTGAAAAATGTGGGTGAAAAATTAATGGAGTGAATCATCATCTGAGTTATCATCTTCTCTTTTTTTTGATAATAGGTAATTATATGCATTTCTTTTTTTACATCTTCTCCTTTGTCATGCACGCAAGAAAAATCTAAAATTTTCTCTTTACTATCTTTTACATCTTCTCTGTAATGCATGCACAAAATTTTTTTTATATTTTTGTAAATGTTGTTGTACACTGTTTCTTTTTTATATATAAGGAAAAAAAGTAATATTTTTGATAATTAATAGATTATATATATATATATATATATATACATGCACAATAAATGATTTCTGAGGAGAATAGTGTTAAAAAAATTGAGTGAAAAATCAGAAAAATAAAATATGAGTGCTGAATTTTTCTGTTTTATGATAAAAAGTGCGTTAATGTTGAAAAATATAACATGGATGCTGAATAGTTATAATCATGATTAGGACTACGAGAAGGATAGTTGTGAAGTAATAATTTGAATGTTGCTTTTAGTTGTTATGGGTTTATTTCTCATATAGCAAGTATTTCAGCAAAAAAAAGTATTTTATTATTTTCAAGTTGAAGGACATTTTGTAAAAGATTCACAAGGGATGATGACCTATAAAGGTAGGAGATTAATTTTTAATTTAATTAGAGAATATATAAATTATGAAGAGCTGTTAAAAATGGTGTTATCAATGATAGGAGTTGAAAGTATTATAGTTGACTTGAAATTTACATTGAAGTTTAGTAAAAAATACATATAAATCTCTTAGATGATGAGGAAGTATAACATTTGATAAAGTATAATGATAATTCAGCATATGTGTATGTTGAGAGAAATGATAATGAAATACATGAAGCAATAGATTATTCGATAGAGTAAGTTGTTGTTCTTAGTTATTAGTGATTTTAATTAATTTAATCACTATTTATATTGACTTGTGACTAATTGTGAATATAGAATTTCTTACCATGGTCACTGTTAGGATCTCCCTCTAAGCAAGAGCTTGAAAATATATCACCCTCTCTGCCATGTTTAACACAAAATATTTTTGCACCACTTCCTGAGGTTAATACAATAAAATGAAAGGATATATTTATGGGTATTGGCCAGACCTTTAATGATGCAATTGTATTCAGAAAAGTACCATATAAGTACAGCTTTGCTCATAGATTTGGTTACATATTTTGTGCATTTTGCTATTGAATGACTTTTTGTATAGAAACCTATACCATATTTTTGTACTTGCAAAAGTAACAAGTTATGTAAATAGGTTTACAGTCCATATTGTTTTTGGGAAGCAGACTGCATAAGTACCATTTAGGTAGATGAGATATTTTCTATGTAAAAAGGGATGCAAATATGGTACATATGTATTGAAATTAGTGTAATATAATGCTGATGACTATTTTATCCATATTAAACTCCAAATTCTTACTCTATCAATTCCATAATTTACTATTAATTCATTTTCAATGGGTTTTCTAGGTTCGATTGACTCACATTACTACTATTAAGTCATTAAGCCACTACTAATGAGCCATAAACACTGTCAACAACTTTATTTATGATGAATTTTGGTTATTAATGGCTCCTAAGCCACAACCACTTCAAAAATCATTAATGTTAAGTTTAAATACTCTAAATAACTCTCATTATATTCATTTTAACCAATGGGATCAAACCCATAGCTCTTATGGACCGAAATTACTCTCCCAACTCAAACTCTAACTTAAGTCCTCGTAAATATGGAAGAGAAGGAAAGAAAAGAAGCTCATTACA